TAAAAGGGGGACTGGTTATCTCTGTGCATATGATTCTCCCCTTCTGTGTAATTGGGCCCTTTAATTATAAATATCTGTATATGATTTTTGTTGGGAAATGTTTTTAAATTGTAAAATATTTTGTATAATAGAAGGGAAAAAGAATTAAACCTGCCAAATGAAGCTGCCTGCTTTTCATTCTTCAGCATGAAAGCATTCCATTGTTGGAGCCTCTGCATTCATTTCCCCCTTCACGTCTGCATCTATTTGATGCTCCCCTTTTCATTCAGAAGTCCTACTCTGCAGAATAAAGCTAAAATAACTATTCTGATGCTTTCCCCCCTCAGCTGTGTAGTTTCTAAATCTCAGTGGATGAGGAGATTTTGTTTTCATTGGTAGAGCAGAGCAGCAGCGTTGTCTGTGCCTCATCTCATTTGCTAAATTACATTTTTAACAAGGTGCCATCTTGCAAAGGGATCTCTAGTGATCTGTCACGGGCGCTTTAGTTGAGATTCCTGCATTGTAGGCGGTTGGACTAGATCACCTTTGGGGGGTCCCTTCCAGCTCTATAATTCTATGCACTCTCTAACCTCAAAGTTTGGGAAATCCTGCCCTGCAGGAATGGTTTTAAGGATTAGTGAGATAACATACTGTGTGTGTGTGTGTGTGTGTGTGTGTGTGTGTAGTGCATTGAACCCTCAAGAGTTAAAGGTAAAGGGACCCCTGACCATTAGGTCCAGTCGTGGCCGACTCTGGGGTTGCAGCGCTCATCTCGCTTTACTGGCCAAGGGAGCCGGCGTACAGCTTCCGGGTCATGTGGCCAGCATGACTAAGCCGCTTCTGGCGAAACCAGAGCAGCGCACGGAAACACCGTTTACCTTCCCGCAAGAGCAGTACCTATTTATCTACTTGCACTTTGACGTGCTTTTGAACTGCTAGGTTGGCAGGAGCAGGGACTGAGCAACAGGAGCTCACCCCGTCGTGGGGATTCGAACCGCCAACCTTCTGATCGGCAAGCACTAGGCTCTGTGGTTTAACCCACAGTGCCACCCGCGTCCCTACTCAGAGTTAAGTAACTGCTAAATATCCTTAAAGTGTTTCCCTTAAAACAGAATAAAACCTTAAAATTAAACCTTAAAACGGAATAAAAGCACCTTAAATTGAAAATTAAGGACACTCGTAATGTAAAGTCTTTTCACGATGCCTTCACAATAGATGCTCAATATTCCGTAATGAATGTTCTTACTGAATTGTTCCTGTAGCTTTATGACCCTGTCTAGGATTAATTTTAGCATCTACCAGTTCTTGTTTTTTGACTGAGCAAGTGTGAATGACTCTATTCTGAATGAGAATAGCCAGCAAACACGACATACAAAAACAAGCCGGCTTGAGAGGCGGGGAAAGGCCTCTCTTCACCCTCAGCGCCAAGAAGACAAGACATTATCAGCTGAAAACAGACTTTACTTGCAGCTGCAAAGTACAAAAGGCAACTGTACTCCTTTTGAGTTGAAGACAAGACGCTCAGCCACACATTATAAATATTACAATGCACTAACAAATGTTAAAATAACTGTAGTGTACAAGGATAGAGTTAAGACTCCAGCAAAGCTTTCTGTATTCTATTAAAGCTGGCAGGCCCGACGTCGTGAGGCAGATACTGAGGCTTCAGAACACTGACCTCCCTTCCAAAAAGAAATGAAAAGTAATCCATTTTTATGGGCTGGTGCTCCAAAGTGGCATTTGAGGCCACTGAAATGGTCTTGGCCAGCAGTTCTCCTTGGAGGACCAGGCTGTGTGCTGCTGCAGAATCCTAGGAAGTCTGAAGGCAGCCGCCACCAAGGTGATTCCGCCTTCCCTTCAGAAAGCACATTCTCTTGGGCCGACCTAGAGGTGCTAGGAAGTGGGATCTCTGCCTTGCAGAACCTTTCTCTTAACATTATTGTCCCTTTTGGAAGTGTCACTATTGATACCCGCTGTCCATATTCAGGAGGACTTTGAAAATGGAGGCTTTGAACTTTTAGAGCAAAGATGATTAGGGGAATTGGGTGGTTGTTCTCCCCCCCCCCCAAAAAAAAATACTGAATTTTATAAAATAATAATGTGTGGGGAACTAACTGGCCAAAGATGGTTTTTTGTCCCTCTCCCATAACACTGACACTCAAGAGGCACACAGAGAACTTGAGTGGCAGCTGAGACAAGGATAGGCAAAATAAAAGTACCGGTACTTCTTAAAGGTAAAGGGACCCCTGACCATTAGGTCCAGTCGTGACTGACTCTGGGGTTGCAGCGCTCATCTCGCTTTATTGGCTGAGGGAGCCGGTGTACAGCTTCCGGGTCATGTGGCCAGCATGACTAAGCCACTTCTGGCAAACCAGAGCAGCGCATGGAAACGCCGTTTACCTTCCCGCTGGAGCAGTAGCTATTGATCTACTTGCACTTTGATGTGCTTTCGAACTGCTAGGTTGGCAGGAGCAGGGACCGAGCAGCGGGAGCTCACCCCATCGCAGGGATTTGAACCGCCGACCTTCTGATCGGCAAGCCCTAGGCTCTGTGGTTTAACCCACAGTGCCACCCATGTCCCACCGGTACTTCTTACTCAGGGACATATTGACATAGGGGATTTGCTACCAAGATGTGGTGGTGGCCAGTGCCAGAGATGGCTCTAAAAGGGTAGTGGATGCATTCAGATGAGGACTGCTGGGTCCTTGATGTTTGCATGGACCATCATGGTCAAGAGACAAGTCTGTCCCTGAATACCAGTTGTTGGGTGGATGTTGCCTTCATGCACAGCTCATATATGCTTCATAGAAGCATTTGAGCTGGCAAGTGTTAGGAACAGGATTGCACCTAAGTGGATCTCTGGTCTGCTCTAGCAGGGCTCTTTTCGTCTTTTTAATCACTAAATGGTAATTCAATGGTATGTAAGCTCCACTGGAAAGACAGACCTACTTCTGAGCAGACATGCATCAGATTGCACTGTAAGGCAACAACTGGTTTTTCAACTCTTTTTATTATTATTGTTTGAATGGAAAATTAAATTGGCCATATTCGTGATTTATTAAGACATACATCGTTAAAATATGCTGGCTAGCTGGTCCTTAATGGCTGTTAAAAAGAAAATCTCACTAGTTTGGTAAGGAGGTGTTATGAAAGTGCAGCGAACAAGGATGCAGAGACAGACAGACAAGCTTCTCACGCTTTTGGTTCAATGCTTGTAGAGTGTAGGGCAAGTGTAGGACGCAAAAAGAACAAGTATTTTGCCAAAGAAGTGGCCCTTTTTGTTGAACTCAGAGCTCAGCTCTTGTTCGACATACTTCAACCTGAAATGTGGACTAGCAAGGACAGAGGGGTGTGTGTGTGTGTGTGTGTGTGTGTACACTGGGTGCCCATTCTTGCCCATTCTTTCCCATTAGAAACTACAATCTGGGTGCACCCTTAGGCTACTTCCATGTGTACAAGGCAAACAGCATGTGATATGCCATTAGGAAGACATGCCTTTAATCTGCCTTTCCCACAAAGTAAGGGAGTACATCCCCCATTCGTATATGTGTTAAGCCTTGCATGGGATGAAAGTCATGCAACTCAGCCTATATTCACTGCAGGGTGTCAGAAGCAAAATGATTACGCTTCATGCTGGATGCATGATGGAGAGACATGTCGTATGACCACCTCACCATGAGCTGAACTCCGGCTGCACTCATACAACCTACTTCAAAACCACATCAACAGTGTTGAGCTGGCTTTGACCCACTGCTGTCTCCTTTATTGCTACTGTACCAAGGCAGGGTGATTCCACAGTCCACACTCTCTGGGGATGAAAGGCAAGGAAGTTGTCTAAGCCATGCAGGAGAGAGTGCTGCGGACTTGTACTTCTCTTGCATCAGAAGAAAGCCACGCTCAGAGTTCAGTACTAGCACTTGTGGGTAAATATCCTGCAAACTCTGGTTGCTGGATCTGAATGCAAATGGGTTTTTTGTTTTTCTCAGGATGTGAACGGGATCTGTTCCGGAGCCCCGTTTGCATCCCGAACAGAACGCAAGATGCGACAGCGCGTCTGCACGTGCATGGGTCGCGTTTTGCCGCTTCTGCACATGTGCGTGACGTCATTTTGACCATCTGCACATGCGCAAGCGGTGAAACCCGGAAGTAATGCACTTCATTACTTCCAGGTCGCTGTGGAGCGCAACCCGGAAATACTTATCCTGAAGCGTATTCATCCAGAGGTATGACTGTATACAAACAAGTGAAGCAACCTCAGAAATGATAGTCCACTGAGGTTCCTGAAACATAAAATATAAACTCCTTTCCAGTGTGTGTGTAATGGTGGTCACTGTCAGGGCCCTTCTAGCACAAAGCTATCCTATCACTAAACCCTTAAAACGCCAGTGAAGAATTATTAGGATTAAATATAAGAGGCCAGGCTGAACGCCATGACTTTCTTTAACCTCAATATGAGGAGTAAGATCTACGGCTAAAATACAAGAGACTCTTGCTGAGCAGGAAAGTCTACTTTTTTAAAAGATTTTTAACAAAACAAGGGGGAAGAAAACCTTGGACAATGCTGCCATTACATGTCACATTCTTGAGTATGACTACTCGGTACTGACATTTTCACAATGCACTGGATGTTGCGTTCTCTGGACTCACAAATAGTAGAGCACCAAATATAGGCAGGTAGAGCTACGCACTTTCCTTCGTATCGCTCAATGGACATTCAACACCTGCTCTTTCATTTCACTTCTTACATATGCTGCACTTTCTAAGTTGGTGATGACATCATGCATTTTTCAAGTTTTGTGCTCGCTGTGCAGGATTATATGATGTGGTTCAACTACAAGTACTTGGGGGAGATAAGCTGCAAACATTTGGAAAGTATTCCAAGACATCTGAAGACAGCCCACAGCCCTGTTCAGGGAATTTTTTAATATTTAACGCTGCATTGTTTTTAATACTTGATTGGGAGCCGCCCAGAATGGCTGGGGAAACTCAGCCAGATGGGCGGGGTATATATAATTTTATTTTTATTATTATTATTATTATTATTATTATTATTATTATTATTATTATTATTATTATTATGTCATAAATTCCTTAGTTTTCTCTCTCAGGGGCAGGCCCAATATTACTTATGGATGCATTCTCTACTTACAGGAGTCAGCTGTTAGGTCTTGACTGTCACAACAACCTCTGCTATCTGTAAGATACATTTTGGAACTCCAGCAGTTGCAGAATTTGGGGTGAAAGTGATCTTGGCATTTCATTCTACCCTTAGCAAAAGCATTAGCCACACCTACCACTGGCTAGCCGCTTTAATTCTTCCTAAAGAACAAAACTGGGGACATGCCTACTTTGTGCTAGTTTGCCATTATTTAAGGCTCCCGTTCATACATTTCCTTGGAGAAGCTTTTTGAAGTACCCTGGGCTGTCAGCTGCTTTCTGCAACACAGCCTAGCTTTCCAGGTATTTAATCTCCAAAATGATCCTCTGGGGCCTGGTTATTATTCCCTGAACGTATTGTCTGTTTGTTATAAATATTGTTTTAACTTGCTAGACCCATGACTTGGGGAAACCTCAGGTAATTAATGACCGTATGCTTCTGCAGCCGTGAAAAGTTCAATGAGGCCTCCTTGGGGATGTGATTCCTCACTTTTCAGAGCCTTTTCTTTTAGACTGTCTCCTTCCTTTAATGCTTAGTTGTTAGCCCAATTATGCCTGCAAATGTATTGGGTTACTCCCCAAAAGAGCCATGGATTTGACAGAAGTTAACACAGTACAGTGCAAATGGCAGGGCACAGCTGACCAATGAGGCAGTTATGGGTGCACAAGCACCCAAAAAGGATCCCGGACACCTGCTCAAACTAGACTTGAAAGAAGCGTTCTGTTGTAGCCAACTGAAAAGGCTGTTCTGCGTGTGGCTGTGGGGGGCATCTACAATGATTCACCATATTTTTCGCTCCATAAGACGCACTTTTTTCCTCCTAAAAAGTAAGGGGAAATGTCTGTGCGTCTTATGGAGTGAATGCCTATGGACTGCGGTGGAATCCCGCTGCAGTCGCGAGCGAAGGATCCATGGCTCCCCTTCCTTCCCTCCTCTGTGACTTGCTTTGAAGCAGCAAAGGGGGTTGGCAGCCGCTTACACGGGTGTAAGCGGCTGCTGTCCTGCTTTGCTGATTTAAAGCGAGCTGCAGATCAGGGAGGGACGGACGGGCTCTCCTTTCTTCCCTCTTCCCCGGCTCAGCTCGCTTTAAAGCAGCAAAGCGGGAGAGGAGCCGCTTACACGAGAGGAGGCTGCTGGGGTTCCTGCGTTGGGTCCGTCTGGGGGCGTGCTGCCTCTCCGCTCGTCGCTCCTTGAGCGCGCACGCCAAAGAAACATACAGCTCCTGTCCCTCTCACTCTGATATACCGGTAGTTTATTAAATAGTTTAGTACAACATTTGATTCAGAATATTTCCCCCCCTGTTTTCCTCCTTTAAAAACTAGGTGCGTCTTATGGAGCAGAAAATACGGTATCTGGTTTGCAAATGTGCCCAAGAGGACTGGTGACCCCTGCTGTAATAAAATGCCAGCCATTTGCAGCACAGAAGCCATAACAACAGTAGCCTAAATTAAGTTATGGGCACATGTTACTGAGCTCTCTGTAAATTCCCCAGGAGCAGAAGCTGCCCTTCCTTTTTGCCTACCAAGTGAGTCAGCCCTGGGCATGCATCTCTGGGAGGACAGCAGCTCTGCATAAAAGCAGCGATGTTTCTCAGGACGTTATTCCTCTTTTATGAGACATTGGGAGCAGCATAAAGCGGCTAATCTTTTGATTGTAAATACAAGGAGCGATGTCTTCTTATTTTTAAATACTTTACACGTGGAGGGCAACAGCTGAAATTCATTTAGCTGGAGGACGACGTTCCCCTAAGTCAAACCACGTGTCCCGTTTTGTGTAAAGCAGAAAGGCTTTCCTCGTTGCAATATGGCTAAGCAGTTTTACATATAAAGAGGGGCTATTACACACCACGAAGAAAAGGGATAATATACATCAATGTAAAAGCAGAGCACGTTACTAGAACCGTTCAGAGATGTTCACTAACCAGCAAGTTGGTGGCCTTGGACCACTAGGGTAGAACAATGATAAACTCCACACAAAAATCTGATAAACCCAGCTGGGGGGGGGGAGAGTACTAGTCCTTCCAACGGGTTTCTTCTCCTCATATCTTCCACAACCAGCACAGATGTTCACTAAAATGATCACTAGGCATTTTCTTCCCTCTCCCACCCTCAACAGCCCTTTGGAGGTGAGTTTATCCTGCTGATTCTAACCATAAGAAGTGGCTGGCTGTGTTGCAGATGCATCCAGTCCTTCCCCCCCCCCCCCCCCGTTTTAGAGAAGAGCGGGGAAAACAGACTCCTTTTTCTTTGATTATGAATGAATGGCGTTCTCTAGGACGGAGTCATTGCCTACAAAATCCCGCAAGTATGCATCTGACAAAGAAGGTTGCTCTTCTTCCGAGTTTTGCACTTCTTGCTTGGCTTCTGCCGTTACTGGTTCCTTCGTGTTGGAGCCTTGAATTGAGGGCATCTGGAAGTTGGGCTCGTTGCCTCGTGGTTCGCTGGGTTGCAGAGGAAGCAGGGCCTTGTGGCGCATGAGGCTGTCGTCACTGTTTTGGGCTTCCAGTGAGTTCCTGTGCTTTGCATTCCGGTTGGCTACTGCATTTGTCTGGTGCTCCTCGAAGCTCAGCGAGAAAGTGACAGTCCCGCCGCCAAAACTCACCTTTTGCTTGCACCCATGTGGCTGCTGGTGGTCCACTGGACTTGGCAGTGAAAAGGGATTTTCATGGTTGCTTTTACTGCTGATGGACGAGGACGGCGTCGAGGCTGTGGAGCCTCCAAGACTGTTGGACCTCTTGCGGGACACATTGCTGCGCCGCAGCGTGGCCTTGGCAGCCACCTTGAAGGCATGGGCAGCGGTGCTGGAGCGCACCTCCTCGATGGTGTTGCGCGAGGGCTTGAAGAGGATGATGTAGACCTTGTTGAAGAAGATGCAAGCCAGCTGCCCAAAGCTGGCAGCCAGTATAGCGATCACCTCCACCGCCGAGACAAATTTGCCGTAGGTGCTGGCGTAAGCTGGGATAAAAGAGATCCAAACAATGAAGAAGATCAGCATGCTGAAGGTGATGAATTTGGCCTCGTTGAAGTTCTCGGGCAGCTTGCGGGACTTGAAAGCGAAGAAGAAGCAGATAGCGGCCAGGAGGCATGTGTAGCCGATCAGGAAGCCCAGTGCCATCAAGGAGCCCTCGTTGCAGGTGATGAAGATGATCTCGTCCTCCAGTTCATGATTCCGATAGCTGGAAGGGGGAGCCGTATAGAGCCAGATGACACAGATGACTATCTGCACAAAAGTGCACAGGAAGACCAAGAGGAACTGGAGGTTAAGGCCCCACCACTTGCGATGGAGGCTGGTGGGTATCTTGGCCTCAAAGACCAGGAGGACGCGGTTGGTCTTCACCAGGATGCAGGAGATGCAGAGGACAAAGCTGATGCCAAAGGCCGGCTGCCGTAAGCGGCAGTTCCAGTCCTGGGGCTCCCCGATGAAGAAAAGGGAGCTGGAGAAGCAGCAAAGCAAGGAGAAGAGGAGGAGGTAAGAGAGTTCGCGGTTTGTGGCCTTGACGATGGGTGTGTTGCGAAATCTGGTAAAGACCCCCAGGACAAACGACGTGAGGAAGATGCCTAGTATAGCGAAGAGGGTGAGCGCGATCCCAAACGGCTCTGTCCAAGACAAAAATTCTATTTGCTTGGGAATGCAGAACGTGTGGTTTTCGTTGGACCAGAAGTCTTCATCACACCTCTCACAGGCACTAGCATCTGGAAAAGAGAAGACACTCTTGAGAAAGGAAAGGAAAGGAAAGGAAAGGGGAAAGGGGAAAGGGGAAAGGGGAAAGAGGAAAGAGGAAAGAGGAAAGAGGAAAGAGGAAAGGAAAGGAAAGGAAAGGAAAGGAAAGGAAAGGAAAGGAAAGGAAAGGGAAAGGAAAGGAATTTCTGAGCCTGAACAGCATGTATGTTGCGTATTGTCTTATCCGCTGCCTGAGAGTTGACCAACTCTCGCTCATTTTATTTACTTATTAAAGTGATCTAAGGCCCCAGGGCAGGTTACATCAACAAATTACATGACGTAATGAATAAATATTAAAACACACATGCAATTTTACAAGCTTAAGAACATTAAACACCTGTCAAAATTACAATATAGGGCCTGGCCAAGTCATTGCATTAGGCTGAAGTGGACTGCAAGGTCTCATTCGTCTTCTTTCTTTGTGTAATGTTGAGAGGTAGATGGGGGTCTGGTGCAAGACCCCTAGAACATGAGCCCTTGAGGGGTGCCAGGGTTGTAGTTGCCCCTGAAGGTACAGAGGGCCACAAGACCTGTATCAGTTAACCTTATCATCATCATCATCATTTTATTAAATTTGTTAGATACTTTATCTTGCCCAAAGCAACCTGAACCAAACAAAAATAAACAAAAGCCCACATTAAAACTGGGGACGACAATAAAGATGATGACCCAATACATTACAAACATTCCATCCACTTCTAAAAGGCCACAGATAGACAGGTAAAGGCCAAAGGGACAGGCAGTAGATGATAAGAGGAAACCTCATTCTTTTACAAGTTATTCCCCTTCCTTAAAAATATGAAGGCAGAAATTCCAAAACAGTTGGAAGGCAGTTCCAGGCCTAGATGTCACTATAGCGGTAAATCAGCATCTACAAATAAATTTCCTCCATACAGAAAACTAGCGTGCCAGGGATTGTAACTAGGCTTCTCTCTGACACACTAGTTTTCCATCATGTGCTTCCATCACGATGCCCCAGAATGCAGGTTTGCCACCTTAGAACTAGGCCTGAAATGGTACCTGGCTGAGATCCAGGGAGCGCCCAATTTAGCGCAATGTGGGCAGTTTCTTCACACAGGTTGACAAGCAGAGGAGGGGAAGAAGAAGAAGAAGAAGAAGAGGAGGAGGAGGAGGAGGAGGAGGAGGAAGGGTACCTACTGAGAAGATCAATAAAAAAGCCAAATTTTGTCCTTGCTCAGGACATATTGAAGGCACTTCTAAGAGCTGTGATCTACTATTGAATCTACCATTCAAAACAAACACCTTCCTATTTTGTTGCTGTGACAACTGACTACCCTCAACGAGGCCATGAAATTCTTCCAGAGGTTCTGCGACAACACTGCTACATCCTCAATTTGCCAAAACCTTTTGACTGTGGGCTCCAGTTTCAACTCCATCTTGGGAAATGCCTCCAAGCAGAAGAGAGCAAAGCATCAATTTCTCCGCATCAGACCATACCTGTCTCATCACTGATCTCCCCGTCAGTGCATTCCACACATTCAAAACAACAAGTAGCTGTCCCCTCGAGAATGCCTTTTCTTCTGCCAGGCGGGCAGTCTTTGCTGCAGTTGGAGAAGGGCACCTGAAGGAATTAAAAACAAACCAACCGTGAGCACAGTCAGGAAGAGGGTGAAAACCTAGATAAAGATTGTTATGTACTGAAGTTCTCATCCTGGGCCAGCAGGGGGATACTGTAGATAGTTATGCAAATGAAGGATCGAAAGTGACGTTCAGTGATTGGATAGTTTTAGAAAGTTGTTACAGTTACGTTGTAGTGGAGCTCTATATAAGCAGGCTGACTGAACCCTTCAGTTCAGTTCAATTCTGGCCTCAGAATAAAGAAGAGCTGTTTGAAGAATCGCTGTGTCGTCTGATATGTTCACCCACAACTTAACAAAGATGCTCTGCTCCAATTCATTCCAGGGACTGAGGAGAGAAATTGAACTTCACCAAGCAGGAACAGGTATGAGGCAAAGCCCTCCTGGTGGAGGCTGCTACTCACAGGGGGTTGATAGCAGGTCTGCCAACTACCAGATGCCACTGTCTGTGGTGGCAGCGCCTCCCCTTTTCCACCGAGGGAGAGGACAGTTGGCAGCTGTACAGCCACTTCTCTTCCACTGCCAACCGTTCACCTGAGCAAATTGGCAAGGGAGTAGCAGCGCTGACCACAAACAGCAGCAGAAAGGGGAGAGACAGGAGATGGCGAAATTGCCGCCAGAAATAAGAGAGCCAAAAGAAGAAACGCTTGAACGGAGACCCTTTTCTGATTATCTGAGAAAATATTAGAGTCAAATGAAATGGGAGGCAGGGCTTGAAGCAAAGGAATGAGATTGATAAAGGAATGTAATGTAGGACAGATGTTTTAGAGAAATATTACCTTTAGGGCAGTAGATTAATTATTTGAATAGAAACATCATGGGAAGAAGGGCAGGAAGCCAAAATCTTAAGGGAACACTGCATTGAAATTGGATTGAATTTGTTAAACTGTTTGAAAACCAATAAAAATTTACGTTCAGAAAAAAGGAGAATCAGTGGCGGCTGCTCTTTGCATTTATTGCCCCTTGCTTCACCAGGCAAGCAAGTAGATACCGCTCTTTTATTTTTATTCTTTTATTCCATTCTATTAAAGCGATTTATGTACTGCTTAACTGCAATCATCTCTAAGCGGTGTGCAAGAAATACAGTATAGAATATTGGTTAAGTGGCGAAGGCTCTAAGAAAGGAGTGGCAGCTGCCCATGTCACTGTCCCTCCGTGCGGACGATGTGAGGTTGATGCTGCTGCTTTTGCAGGTGGCAGCACCAAGAAGGGCCCCCCCAAGGGGCCTAGTCCTTACCCCTAACTGCAGAGAGGAGGCAGGAGACAGTGTCTGCTGCTGCTTCTCCTGGGACACTGTGGTCCTTGCAGCTGCTTCAAAGGATGGGTTGGTGACAGAAAGATTGTCATAGGGGACTCTAGAGAGGTATAACCATATTGTGGGCTTGGGTGTGGGTAAGGAATGGTGTGCCTGTTCCTCCAAAATGTGAGCCAGGCGTTAAGAGTCCCAAATTGACTTGAAAAATGATAAAACGCAAGGGTGATCTTTGTGCCGCTGAGGGCTTAGAATCTGCACTATCTGTCAGTATCTAACACGGTAATGGCTTGTTTCTCATTGCCAGCGGCAAGAAATTTCCATGGTGGTGTAGCTCTCAAAGGCAGCGTCGTGCTGATATGCACAACATCTGTTGCCCCAACTCACAGTGGTACCTCGCAAGACGAATGCCTCGCAAGACAAAAAACTCGCTAGACGAAAGGGTTTTTTGTTTTTTGAGCTGCTTCGCAAGACGATTTTCCCTATGGGCTTGCTTTGCAAGACAGAAACGTCTTGCAAGTTTGTTTCCTTTTTCTTAATACAGTTAATATAGTTGCAACTTGACTTCGAGAAGCAACTCATAGAACGCGGTGTGGTAGCCTTTTTTGAGGTTTTTGAAGACTTTGGTGATTTTTGAAGCTTTTCCAAAACTTTCCCGACACCGTGCTTCGCAAGACGAAAAAAAATCGCAAGACGACAAAACTCGCGGAACGAATTAATTTCGTCTTGCGAGGCACCACTGTACCTTTGCGTCAGAGAGCGAGCAAGCTCAGAATCCATGCTGTGCATCACCCCAGCAATCCTTGCTGCCTGGCACTGCAGGGACCTGCCACACACGATCTAATGGCAGATTTCTGCACGTATACCAAACAGCCACAAGGTGGAAGCAGAAATCAAAACTGTGACTTTCAATTACAGATAGAGTCGTCAACAGGCTCACCACAGCTATCTGCCAATCACCCATTCCCACCACCCTTCTGAGTAATACCCCTCCCCACCTTCTCACTATATAGAAGGATCTGGCAACTTCTGTTTCAGTGTATCTGAAGATGTGTGCATGCACACGAAAGCTCATACCAAGAACTAACTTAGTTGGTCTTTAAGGTGCTACTGGAAGGATTTTTTTTGTTTTGACTGTGACTTTCAAAACAGTGGTCTGGTGCTGAATGTTGCTTAGCATTTGAACAATTTCATGGAGTGGCCTTTCCCCCTCAGGAACCACAACAATTTGCCAGCTGTGGTCTCATCCAGACCTGCACTTGTCTTGTGCCCAGAAATCACGAGTCCAAGCAGTTTCCTGCTTGTCCCGCACTTTCTAGGGACAGGTCTGTCCAAGCAGTTATGCCCTTGTCTTCTTCTTCTTCTTCAACTGCCCTATACCCGCAGGTCTCAGGGTGGTTTGCAGAATAAAATCAAAATATAAAACCACAAAATCCAAAATAAAAATAAAAACAACAACCCAATAACCTGCTTTCTCCTGGAAAACCTGCTCTTTAGCGATCAATCGGAGCAAACTTCAATCCACTTGATAGACATTTGCTCCAACTCAGTGGTAAAGATCGGGTTTCGCCAGGGCAAAGCAACAGAGCAAGGGCAAGTCTGAATGAGCCCTATGTATAGCAACATAGGAGCAATTTAATCAACTACTAAATGACGAGGCAACAGCAGCTTGAGGCTGTGTGTCAATCTGTATGCCTTCCTTTGAAAGCATTGCTGGCGCTCAGAGGTAGGAAGGGCTCCCCAAAAAGCTCAATGCATTTGTGATTCTAGCACCAGGCACAGGGCTGGGAGATCAACGGAAAGGAGCGGGACAAAAAGGGCTTATAGCAACAGGAGGGATCTCAGGGAGGCAAGCGCATGGCACACCCAGCTCTGTCCTCTAACTCATGTTGCTTAATGGCAGTGTTTCCCAAACTTACAATAATCGCATACCCCTTTTGAGAATTTCATCTTACCAGCGCAGTTTTAATAATGCTATTTTATCTTTGGATTGTTTTCTGCAGCTAAAAAGACTATGATAAAGTAAAATAAAGAGTTCTGCCATCTACCTATGGAACCCTTAAGGGTACATATACCACACTTTGGGAAACACTGCTATACAGCATTCAAAATGGCAACACCAGCGCTATGATTTGGAGGACAGGAACTGATACTACACACATAGGCACACTTTGCCTGCTGTTCACCCACAAAAAACCAGGCAGCGGCAACAAAAACGATGCATTTTTTCCCCTCCTGTGAGCCGGACCCAAGAAAACAGAACCTCGCTGTTGGCTATGGGAAAGAATTTCAGCCCAAAAAGATCTGTGGACCTTGTGGGAAAGGCTGATAAATATTAATGTTAGTTTGGGGTGGCTGGTGTCTCTTACCTCCTTCGAGAATCCACTCCACAGAATCTTGTTCTCATTGATAAACAGCCTCTCTCCTTTCTTGGCATAAACATTATAGTGTCCAACTTCCTCAAAGACAATGGAGCCGTCCTCTGGTGACAGGTGCCAATTGATGATGGAGTAATTCCCTATCAGGCCCCCAGATTCATCAAAATCCACTTGCTCTCCCATGTTGTTTGTGAAGTTCAAGTGCCGCAGGTGCTTCAGTACCTATGGAGAAGGATACAGATATAGGCTGAATCAGGCCATCACTGATACTGGCATCTCTTGACAGACCAACCCTGCTGTGCCAAAATCAAAAGCCATTAAAATGCCTGAAGTTAGGTAGAAACAGAAATGGCAGCTGGTGCTGCTGAAACGTTTACTTGTCAAACGCTTGTGTTGTTTTATACATCCTTTTGCAAATGGGTGTGAGATGACATTCCTGCATTGCAAAGGGGTTGGACTAGACTGGGGTTTCCCAAACTCCAGTTGTTTTGGACTACAACTCCCATCATCCCTAGCTAGCAGAACCAGTGGTCATGGATGATGGGAACTGTAGTCAAAAACAGCTGGAGACTCAAGTTTTAGAAATCCTGGACTAGATGACCCTTGTGACCCCTTCCAATTCTATGATCCCCCCCATTAAAATAAACCTCTTATTTTTGAGAATGGAGAGGGGGCTAAAGATGCTTGGGGAAGACTTTAATTAGAGACACTTGACTAGCCTCTCTTGAACTGGAAATGACACCATTGTCAGGGAGTCTTCAGGGACCAGGGATATTCAGTTCAGCCAGGAAGCATAGGATTTGTAGTTTTCTCTGCCTCCCATTTTTTTAATTTTCACTTTAATCTTCTCAGAGGTATTTGGGGTGGGGAAAGGGCTGGTAGTGGAAGGGTGTGAGATAAAACAATGTGTTTGGTTGAGAGAGTTCAGTTGGTAGCACATGAGACTCTTAATCCCAGAGTTGTGAGTTTGAGTCTCATGTTGGGCAAAAGATTCCTGCATTGCAGAGGGTTGGACTAGATGCCTCTTGTGGTCCCTTCCAACTCTATGATTCTATTATTCTAAATGCCTTTAAAAAAAACCCCTCAAGTCTTTTCAAGTATTTTCACGGAATGCTTGAAAATGAACGCAAACACGTACTTTTTTTTTAAGTGAGCTAAGTTGTGTGCTGATTTTTTTAATTAAAAACCCCAAAATGTGCTTATGCCAGCTTTCAGTTTTAAGAACTTCCAGGATGTCTCACACCATTAAAATACAGTATCAAGATAAAAACAGTAGCAGAACAGTAAAACCTGAGCAGAACAAAACAAAACAAAACAAAACAAAAAACACCAACAGTACTTGTCAAAAACTAGTAGGTTAAAACCAGCTTGAAATGGCAAATTGGTGAGCCTGGTTAAATGAAAAAGTCTTTGCCTGGTGTTAAAAGAACGTTGAGAAGAAAAATAGCACACACAGGGTACCACAATTGAAAAAGCACCACAACAAATTTGTTTCATGTGGTCTGAGGGCTGACTTCACACACACATACATACACACACACACACACACACACACTTTTAAAAACAAGTACCAGCTGCTCAAAGTGGCTTAAAATGCTACTCTTATCATTCACGTTGAAAATTTAGTTGCAAAAGAGTTCTATGGTGTGTTGATGTGCTGTCCCAACTAGAAATATTGTAGTGGCTATTGACATGGGAGAAAAGGGACAGCTATCTGTTCCTGCAAGCAATGTCCCTGAGAGCCTTCTAGAAACATGGCAGGTGTGGGATGGGGGCAACCATGATTTTTCCAGTACAAGGTTCCTGGTTGGGACAGCAAGCCTTCATGTGCCATTATTCTCCAGCCACATTTTCAACACACATGTGACATGACAGGAGTTGCACTTTTTAGCCGCTCCATGTGGTAAAGTTAGTGCCTGTGGTTTTTGTTTTGTTTTAAGTGCAAGTCAGATCTCAGACCAGCTTGTATTCTTGGTAGTTTAAAAAAAACACAACATATGTGTGCAGGTTTTGGGTGGGTGTGTGGGTAAATCCGCATGGAAATTGAACAGGACATATGAACACGCCTAAAAGGGACACAGTCTGCCTCAGGACTGACCCATCTAACCTTAATGATTACTTTAGTATCCAGACAGACTTGTGCGAAAAGGCAGTCCTTTAGATCGGTTGCTTGTGAAACAGGGTAATACAAGATACAAGGCTTGTAATAACTTAGTCCAAAAAAGTTAAGAATTTAACTAACAAAAATACCGTTTACTTAAACGCCATGGTAGCTATTCAGAGAACAGTTTTCAAAGAGAAAGGTGAAAAACTAACTATACTATAGTGACTTGAAACACAGCGATGTGTTCCAAGCCACAGAGGGGACACGGAAGTCTTCACCCAATGTGCTTTACCTGACTTGCTTCTCTGCACTTGCAACCCTCCACCACCAAATCGTATTCAGTGATGCTGCCATCCATACATGCACAAAGGATGTCTCAAATGTCCACCCAACTCAGCTTAATTGCGGCTTACATTTTTCAAATTGGATGGAAGCTGGTTTGAGAGAAAAGGCATCAAGCAGCAGTATTTCTCAAGAAACTATAGGCTATAGATGGATTGTGGCTGACGTTCATGTTCACTTGTGATCTAAATTGCCCTGCGTCTTAGACTGTCATCCAAAAGCTTTACTTTTCTGGTTTATCACCACAGCAGTTATTAACGCTGGGCTTCAGCAAATGAATTAATTAGACAGCGCCTATATGATATTGAGCGTCAGAATAATTTGGCCACAATAAGGAAATTTTGTCCATGGTAGGATTATTTTCCACCTAGTCATTTTGATACGTTGGCACCCAAAATTTAACAATTCCAGGACACAGATGTGCTTTCACTTATGCAAGATTACATATACTGCCTTCAGCTGTACTTGAGGGTCGATTTCAAAAAATTACGCTTATGTCCACGTGGAGAAGGCAGTATTGAATCAATAGCTCATGTGCTTCTTGCTTGCACTCTTTATAAAGATTTGAGGAGTGAGGTTATTACCCCTCTATTATTGTCCATGCTGGGTCGCTCAACCATTGCTACTGTGTCCTTTCCTCTAGCACAGTGCTCCCCAACCTTGGGCCTCCAGCTGTTTTTGGACTACAATTCCCATCATCCTTGACCACTGGTCTTGCTAGCGAGGGATGATGGGAGTTGTAGTCCAAAAACAGCTGGAGGCCCAAGGTTGGGGAACACTGCTCTAGCAGATCAAGATAACCAGGTGACTGCAAAAACTGCAAAAAACTTAGCAGGGGCAATTAGAGTTAAGATCTATTCTTTGATTATTGATGTAAACCTCCAGTTTTTACCTCTATCTTCAGTACATTGTGTTTTATTTTATTGCTATGGCTAGTGGCTGATGCAAATAAAGATTCTTCTTCTTTTTCTTCATGTGCACTTGGCTTCAAATTAGCAAAGGCTAATGTGTTCACAGCCTGAAACTATAACTAGCAAGATGAGCGTTCCAGAAATTGCTGTGGTTTACTGATGAGATTACCATGAAAGTTAATGTTTTTAAAAAGTGTTTTGTGGAACTGGTCTCTTATGCAGCATGTTGGGTATGTTCGTGTAGGTAAGCACAGGTAATTTTTATCCATAAGCCACCTTGAATCCTTGTCAGCGGAAAAGGCAGCGTATAAATAAATATATAATAATAATAGGTGCCCACCTGTGTCGCTCAAAGCAGACAGGTGCCACCAAATGTGACGGGACAAGATGACAAGACGTTTGCTCGGCCTTTGGGGTATAGCAAACCTACCTATTGTAGGCTGTTACAGTTCTAATTCAACTTCTACTTGCACCCAGAGCACACAAAGCAAAGAAACTGAAAAGGCAACAGAGATATGGCTCTGAACCCCAATACCTGATGAAGAGCTGCATGAGAGCCGAAAACCTTGTGACTTTTTAAAAAAGGATTCTCTTATTAAAGATACTAGCTTCTACTATTCTATTACTGAGAGCCAGTGTGGTGTAGTGGTTAAGAGCGGTAGTCTCGTAATCTGGGGAACTGGGTTCGCGTCTCCGCTCCTCCACATGCAGCTGCTGGGTGACCTTGGGCCAGTCACACTTCTCTGAAGTCTCTCAGCCCCACTCACCTCACAGAGTGTTTGTTGTGGGGCAGGAAGGGAAAGGAGAATGTTAGCTGCTTTGAGACTCCTTAAAGGGAGTGAAAGGCGGGATATCAAATCCAAACTCTCCTCCTTCTTCTATTACCCTCATTCTTGTTTTGCTAGTGCTGCAATGGCATTTGTCTAATATTAACATGTCATGAAAATGGAAGTGCGGCAGGAGCAAGATGGGGAAGGGGGAGATGGCAAATGTTATCAGAATCAGGAGAAGCAGCAACACCTGGACCATCTGCTCAGTCCATCATCTCACGCTCAGCTAATGACCAACCTGAAACACACCTGACACATTTGTTTCCAAACAAATATTCTCACGTTAGCTAAGCTGGCGACAACTTGACTTGTCCTCTTCTCTGAAAGGCTTCTGTGCATCCTTTGAACAGGGGATGCCAATGACTGAACCAGGATATACCATGTGCAAAAATATGTTGCCTCCCACTGAACAGAGCCCTGCTTTCTCTTCCATGTGCAAAACTGTCAGACTGGTTTATGTATTTGAGTGATTTGAGTATTAGAATTTGAGTAATGCTATACCGGGGACGCGGGTGGCGCTGTGGGTAAAAGCCTCAGCGCCTAGGGCTTGCCGATCGCATGGTCGGCGGTTCGAATCCCCGCGGCGGGGTGCGCTCCCGTTGCTCGGTCCCAGCGCCTGCCAACCTAGCAGTTCGAAAGCACCCCCGGGTGCAAGTAGATAAATAGGGAGCGCTTACTAGCGGGAAGGTAAACGGCGTTTCCGTGTGCTGCGCTGGCTCGCCAGATGCAGCTTGTCACACTGGCCACGTGACCTAGAAGTGTCTCCGGACAGCGCTGGCCCCCGGCCTCTTAAGTGAGATGGGCGCACAACCCTAGAGTCGGACACGACTGGCCCGTACCTTTTTAATGCTATACCAGTGTGGCATAGTGGTTAGAGGGTCAGGCCTGGGAGACCAGGGTTCAAATCCCCACTCAACTGCCTCTCAGCCTAAACTACCTCACAGGGTTGTTGTGAGGATGAGAGGAGTAGGAGGAGGACCATGCAGTGGCGTAGCGTGGCGGGTGCCAGGGGTGCCGACCGCACCGGGCGCAACA